ATTACAAGCTGGGATGCCATCCTCACGGGGAGAGGATTGGCAACCTTTACTTCTGTACAGGAACAGTTTATTACATGGCGAAACAGATCAAGTTCCAGTAACAAGTAAGCGTGCATATACGAGACGTAAAAAGGACCATTTAGCTGGTATGTTGATAAGTATATTATGCTACTTGAAATTTTCAAGAATTTATTTTAAAGATATTAATAAATATTTTTTTTTACTTTTTAAATGATTATGTATGATTATTTTAACTTATAACAATTTGTATAAAATGTTTGTAGAAGAAGAAGAAGCAGATGAGCCTGAAGAAGGTTCTGATCATGAATTTTCCGGGTAAGTTAGGTGTTTATATCAAACTAGTAAAGAATGAAATATGTTTTTATATTTTATTTACTAAAATAGTTATTATCTTGATAATGAAAATTTTTCTTGATTAATATAATATACGTATATTTATATGCAAAATACGCTTTATTGCTTTTAAAATATAATTTATGCTATGAATGACAAGTATTTAATATAGTTATAGAAATTACACGCTTATGTAGATATTAATGCACATAGTGTTGTAAAAATCAGTCTCGAGCTTCCAGTTTTAATGGTTAGAGGTTCTGAGATTCGAACCTTGAGCTTTAACTGTCGAAGATTTGAGTTGATCTAAATTGTATACAATGATGAACGGTAAATGGTATCGTAAAAAGTGAAATGTCATATATGCCAATCATATTATTTACTTTAAGAGCTCTTAAGAGCTTTAAAAATTTGAACTCCATATGATAATGACCCTAAAAATTCAGCTTTTAAACTAGAGAATATTAAGCCTTGAAGTTTCGAAGACTGGAACTTTGCACAACACTAAATGCACAGATAATGTGTACATTTTTTTTCAGTATTATTAGTATCATGCTCTCGTATTAATGAATGTTAAAATTGTATTATCCGTATATTTGTAGTTTTATTATTAATAAAAATATCTTTTCTCTCATTATACTCAATTTTTATTTTGCTTCATAATATGCTTTGTTGAAATGTATTACAAGATACTAGTAAAAATTTAAAACTAAAAATTAAAAATATAAAAGATATTTTAAATTTGTAAGATACTCTAAGTTATTATTAAAATAATCTTATTAATTTAAATATGTTTTATGCAAAAATATTCGTGATATATTTTGAAATACAATATATTATAAGCTTATTGATATTTTAATTTTAAACAAATTTTTATAATGCCACATTGTCTTTTAGAAATAAAATTTTTTAATACACTATCTTTTACACATTTATCATTTAATTGCATGCTTGTGCTTAATTTATTAATAAATACTTATTGCCAATGGCGCCTTTATGTAAATTATAAATCTGTTGTGTTTGCATGAGTAGTAATCTTTTATGAATCGCTTGTTGCAGGCTACCTGATCGTTATTCAAGCTAAGACTTAGTTTTTAGCAAAATCTATAATATATTATAATGATATAAGGGGCAAAAATTATATAAGGAATTAATGAGGTCTGTTATTATTGGTGCCTGTTTTAAAATCAACTTTGAAACTAGTATAAGGAATTGTATGTAATATTGTCAAAATATCAAATTAAGTATCAAACATATATTTAAATATGTAAAGAACAAATATTATCTGAGGAATTGATGAAATCTGTTATTCTTGGTGCCTAATTTGGCTACGAAAGAATTCATCTTCTATAAACTAGTATAAGGAAAATAACATAAAAAATGAACAATGATATAATGAAATGATAATATTTTTGGAACACCTGACACAAAAAGTACATAGAGAACGATGTGTGTTCTGTTGAACCTAAGAACTTTAAACCAAGTAAGTTTAAAATACTTTGTATTCTGTTTATATATTGATAATATACAAATTGGTGATAGATATAATGAACATGTGATATTAATTAAAATAATACCCTTTTCTCCTACGAGTTCCCAAATCCTATCAAAATTTAAAATCCATAACAGATTAATAATATTATATTTTAAAGCTTTTTCCCTATTAAAATCTGCAGGAAATGTGACAGAATTAACCCATTGTTTCACATTTCCTGCTTAATATCGGATTTTTATATTTTACATTTTTTAACACGCCGTTCTCTATTATCATCGCAACATTATAGAAATGTTTTTAGGTATTTAGTTTGTTAATATTTGGGTTAATTCTGTGTACTTTATTCAGATACTTTATTGTTTTATCAAATGCATTAATATGTATGTACGTGGTGTAAATTTTGTAATACATGCGTATGTTCGTATTATATGGAAGATGTATGTGAAATTTCAAAGTTATTTAACATAAATTTTTGTCCCTTTATTTATAATATTAATTCTAATATATTTCCATCAATAAAAACTTTTTCTTTCAGTAAACACAAGAAGAAACGTGGTTCAAGAAAACACCAGTGAGTAAATTCATACTTTATTTCCATAGTTATAAAAATAGATTAAATTTAGATGTATGTATTTATTAAAAAAAAGATAATTTTGTAAATTACATACATTTAAAAAATGTCTTTCTTTCGTTTAAGTGAAAAAGTGATGTTTATAATATAAATTGAATCATCTTTTGTAGTACCATTAGTTTGAATCTTCATTTCAGATTAGCTGTTAATAAAATATCAATAACTCGTGGATCTAGAGCAGCTGGGTTTTATGAAACCAATGAAACTACACAAATGCAGACATCTCCAACTGCAATTATTGAAGATGCATCAACCAGTCCTTCTCAAGACATAGATAATAAACTTAAGACATTACAAATTCAATCGAGGTCGTAAGTAATGAATTTTTAAATTTTATAAACCTGAGAATTTTCTAAATAAAAGTATTTGCAATGAAAATATTTTCTTAGACGAAGAAGTCAAGATAACGTAGAACCAAGAGAATTAAGAAGAACTTCTAGAAATTCTGGTCGTTATGTAGAAGGACAATATATGGTAAGTTATAATTTTTAATTTATAATCTTCCTATATATAATCATTACTATTAAACTATTAAAACTTCGATAAATTAGCTCCCTAATAACGAATTTTACGTTTTATTTATATATACAAATATATATACAAAGTTAAAAATTATATTAATTTAAATTTGTATGCACATTCTTCTTTTGCAATCTAATACTGTGATGATCGTGCAATTTAAAATTGCGATGAGCTCTTTTTTGTTATTTGATTCAATTATTGATGTAAAATTAAGAATATCAAATTAAGAATATAAAATATATATATATTTTATATATATATATATAAAATATAACGGAGCGCGATATATAAATACATGAGTATATAGCTTCGTGGCATAAAATTTAAAATTCTTAATATATGTGTAAAATATTCTCATAAAATAAAATGAAGATACTTCTTATGTTTATATAGTTACACTTAATTATATATTACAGTTAAATAGTTAAATAAAATATTAAAAATTGAATATAGTTTTCTTATAAAATAATAAAATTCTTTTTTGTTATAGGAATCCGATTCTGAATAATGAAGTACAATAAAAAAATACATTCATTCAAGATAAAATTATTATAAGACAAAATGGTTTGTGATATGTTTATAATATACGTGTCGTATCGAATAAGTTTTAAATGATGAATAAAAACTTATTCAATCGATTATATACGACATATGAATAATGAATTCACAAATTAATTAATAAGTTCCAGATTGTTGCATTTTTTAAATCATTTTTTTAAAAATATTATTTTTGTTGCTCAAAGTCATATTTTCTTTGGAATTTACTAGATATAACAAACAATACATTAAATAAAACGCTTTATAACGTTAGTGTTCTTCATACATAAAACTTTATACATTATCATCATTAGAAAATTATTTAAAAACTATCTACACAACATATGAGATAAATATCTTTTGAATATCATTTGCTTATTTAAATTGCTTATTGTTATATTATTATATATCATTATAATAATATTATTATAATTTATATCATTATAATATATTCTACTTGTTACTATACAATTATTATATAATCTGATGTGAGACGCTTAAAAAAAATACATTTGTTTTTTACAATTATAATAATAATAATTATTATTAAACACATTTTATATTACGTACGTATGTATCTCATCTATCATTTGCGTTACGATGTTTACGAAAAATACTACTTCTTCTACGACCTCTTGGTGTAACGATAACTTTCTATAAAAAATGTAATTTCATATTTACATAATCCATGTAAAGTTTTTTATTTATTATATTATTAAGTGTAAAAAATAAAAAACAAGTAATAAATTATTTTTAAACAATATGAATAACTTACTTCATCTTGACCTCGTGAAAGGAATAAATTTCTTAATGTTCGTGGTGTAGTCGTTGCTCTCTCTTTGTTCTTTTCTCTTAATATTCTTGAACTTGGACTTCTTAGTTCATTACCCTTCAATGTTTAATTATATATTAGAAAAAAATTTTAATTAAGTAAACCTCATAATACAAATATATTAATATCTCATTTACCTGTAAGGATAATCTTCCTCCATTTTTACTAGGAGTTGGAGGACCAGGTTTTTTATATGAAGTCTGTGAAGTAAATATTAAAATATATTGAATGTGACACGAATAATGGATGTTTTAATTATAAGTTGAAGTTAAATAGAGAAAGAATGCATTTATATATCAACTTTATGTAATATATATAAAAAATAATTTTGTATTCTAAAAATTTATTAATTATTAAAAAATTATCTTATCAGATATTATATCTGATACGTGAGTTCTATCTACATACCTGAGTTCTATCTTTTTTCTTAGTTTTTTGTTCAGGAAGTAAACTTTGACTCAAACTGTCATTAAATATTTCATCTGTAACTGAACCTGCCTATGATTGAATTAAAAACAACAAAATATATACATACTTATATATACAGACAAATAAAATTAATAAGAAAATTAATTTAGAACTATAACTATAGAAATATAAAATTCTTACTTTAATTTCTTCTTCCGTAAATGATAGAGGATGAAATTGCATTTCAGCAGGATAAGATGATTTTAAATGAGGTTTGCAAAGAGCATTCCTTTTTTTCAAAATAGATAATCTATCTGTATCAATGCTCATTGAGAAATTATCATCTTTCATGTCAGCTAATAATTTAAATTTACCTCATTAATAATCGAAATCAGTTAAAATTAATTTTATTTAAAAATTATTTTTAATTTACCTAAATAAATATTATCAAACACTTCTCCTTCTTCATCCTCTGCATTAAATGCATTGCCCATTGTTTGTATATTCCTAATACTATATCTTCTTTCATATGTTGCCTTTTCTTGAATTACTGCAATTTTATGTAAAACATTTTTATTTTCTTCTAATGCATTCTTTTTCTCACATCTGAAAAAAAAGAATTTAAACAAAGTATCTAAAAAAACAAATTAATTATTATTTAATCATTGTTCTTACTTAGCATTTTTATGTTCTATTAAAGAAATTATTTTTTTATCTAAGTTTTGATATTTAGCTTTCAATTCAGTTAATTCTTTCTGTAACTTTTCTTTTTCTTGTTTTTCACTTAACAATTTTTCTCCAACAGTCCAAAGTTGAGAACTCATGTTAGCAACATGTGTCTTATATTTATTTAATTCATCTGCCTGTTTACGACATTGCAGTTCCATTTTTGTTTGTAGTGACTCTAATGTTTCCTGCACACACTGTTCTTGTTCTCTGTTTAGCTTTGTTATTTGTTCATTATATGCTGTTTTCTGTAATATGTGTTATAGAAATAAATGAGTTACAAAAATTGCAAAAATAAAAAACATTAATATGCCTACCATATTTTGTTTAATTTCATCTACTTTAATTTTATATTTATCATAAATATCTTTTAATTGTTTATCAACATCCTCTTTTTTCGGTCGTTTGCTTAATTCATCTCTTTCTTCTTGAAGCTTTGAATTTTCTTCTTTTAATTGTATTAACTCCTTCTTTAAGTCTTCTACTTCTTTTAATGATGTTATTTTTATTTCTTGTACTTTAGTGCTAAATTCACCAACTTCATTTTCTAATTTTGCATTTTTTATGCGTACGCAGTTTAATTTACTTTCTAAGTTATTCTTATCTTCTATCAATTCATTAATTTGCAATTGTAACTTTTTTTCTGTTTCAGATTGGAATTTTGTTTCATCACATTTAAAATCATTTTCAAAAGAAATAACTAATTTTGAAAAATCGTCTATTTCATTCTGTAATTGAATAATATTTTCTTGTAATATTTTATTTTTATGTAGTTCTGTTTCAATTACTGCTTTTTGATCAAAAAAGATGTCTGGAGAAATATCTAATATTTGTTCATTTTTTTCTTCCAACCAAATATCTTTTATTTTTTGTTCAGACCAAGAAAATTGTTCCCATAAAATATTTTGTAAAGATTTTATATTTTGAAAATAATGAATATGGTGTTTAAATAATGCTTTTTCTAAATATGTTCTTTTGGTTTGTATATGTTTTAATTCATCACACACAGATTTATCCATCATAAGAATATTATAAGAACTTGTTAATAAATTATCCCATTTTTGTTTTAATCTATTTAAAGATGTATCTAAATCTTCTCTTGACCTTATGATATTCTTTAAATAATCTTTTAATGATTCCTTATGCTTGATCAGAATATTTATATTTTTTAAGCGATCTTTATATAAATTATTTAGTTCTTGTACCTTAGTTTTTAATAATTTTATTTCTTCGCATTTTGAAACATAATTATCTTCAATTATTGTTTGATTTTTGAGACTTTCACTTAAGTTTGCGTTTTCATTTGAAAGTTGTAAAATTAATTTACGTGATATTTGTATTTCATTAATCGATGACCTTATTGTTTTTAAAACATTTTCATTTGTATCATCATTATTTATATTTTGTATATTATACGTTGCATCAATGTAAATATTTGCACTTATTTCTGCAATTGTCGATTTTAAATCATTTACTGAATGTTGTAATTTTTCACAAGTTTGTATAATTTCTAATTTTTTAATATCTTCAGCTTTATAATATTCCTTACTTTTATTAAGTTCATCTTTTTCTTTCTTTAACATTTGCTGTAACTGTTCTAGCTGCAAACATTTTTCTTTTAAAGCTTTCTCTTGTGTTTTTAGAACTGCATCTTGATTAGATCTTACTTCTTGCAGATTTATAATTATTTCTTTCAGTTTCATTTCAGAAGCAATTGTTTCTCTTGATAATTTTTCAAATTTATTCTGTACAAGTTCCAGTCTTTCTTGTTTTAATTTTACTTCTATATTTAGTTGATCTGAGTGATGCTGTTTTTCCAACAATTTTGTTTCTAGTTCTTTTATAAAATTTTTCATTTTAATTTCTCCCCGTGTTTGTAAATGTATGTGTTCTTTTTCTAATTTTAAAGAAGTTATTTCTTCAAATAAATTTTCAATTTTCTTATTTTTAAATTTTAATTCATCTAACATATTACACATTTCTTGCTGAGATTTTTTAAGTTTATCATTTACAACATTTAAATCAAGAAAAATTTTTTCATTTTCAGATTTAAGATCCTCATGTTGTTTCTGAAATACTTCCTGTGTTTTTTCAAATTTTTTCAATTTTTCTGTAGATTCTATTAATTTTTGTTTGGTACAAATTAATTCTGCTTCCAAATCATTCATCCTTTCCTTACTTTCCATCCTTAGTTTTATTAAATCATTTCCTAATGTAACATTAAAATTTATATTATCCTTTAATTTCTTTTTATTATCAGTAAGTTCATTTTCCAATTGATTCTTACAAAGTTGTTCTTCAGTGTAATTGGTAAATAATATTTTATAAGCGTTTAAAATACTTTCACTAGTTTCTTTATTATATTTTTGATATTCGTTTATTTGATTTAATACATCTTTTTTCATTAAATAAAATTCTGTTTCAAGAGTTTGAAAATTTTTCCTCAACATTTCTATACATCTTGAAGATGCTTGCAATAACGAATTTTTCTTATTTATTTTTTCTTTATATATGTGCAAATCTTTTTCTAAAGCTTGCTTTTGAAATTTAATTTGTTTTAAATATGAAATTTCTTCAGTATGTTTTTCTATAGAGATAGTGAGCTCATTAATTTTGGTCATATTTTCTCTGATAGTTTCCTTCAATTTTGATATCTCTGTATTATTCTGTTCATCTTTTCGTTCTAATTTAGATATTTGTAATTGAAAATTTTCAAGCTTCAATTTAGCTTCGTTCATATCATTATTTAATAATTCGGTTTCTTGTTGCTTCAAAGTATATTTTTCATTAAATTTAGATAATGTTATTTGTAGATGTTCTATAAGTTCAGTAGTTGTTTTGTTCTCTAAATTATCTTCTATATAATCTATATTATCCGATATAATTTCTTTTAAATTTATATTATATAGATCAGCAGAATCTTTATACAAATTATTTTGATTTCTTAATTCCTGAATATATTTAAGATTTTCAGATATTTGTGATTTGACTTCTGTAAGTTCAGTGTTTAATGTGACATTATTTATATCTTTTTTGTTTAAAGATTCCTCTAAGTCTTTAACTTTTTCTATCAAAGAATTTTTTTCAATAATTAACGTGTTTTTGGATTTTTCAATGTGTGATAAGGATTCTTTTTGAGACATACATAACATATCTAAATTTTTATTTTGATTTATTAAAGATGCTTTTTCTTCTTGTAAAATTTCAATTTGTTTAGTTAATTCATTTACAGTTGCATTTAATTTCGTTTCCGTATTTTGTAATGTTTGTGTCTTCTTTTTCAACAATTGTATTGTATCTTCATATTCTTGGCTTATAGATTCTAATTTTTCATTTGTAGCATCAAGTTGTACTTTTAGTAAAGCAGACTCTTGTTTTGCTTCTTGTAATTGAATATCAATTACAGAACTTAAGACTTCGCTGGTATTTAAAGATACTGAAGGTGACTGTAAAGGTGCTATGCCGTCAATTTCAAAACTTTGTTCTTCAATTGCTGTTTTACAAAATTCTTTTAAATGAGTGCGTAACTCCTCATTAGTCATTTTTAAATTTACCAATTCCCTATCTTTAATTTCTCCCTGAATCTGCAAGTTCTCTAAAGATTTTTCACAATTTTCTACTTTTTCTTTAAAATACATACATTGTGTTTGTATAGATGTCAATTTTTTTGTCAATGTATCATTATCTGCTTCAAGTTTATCTATGTTACATTGTTTTTGTATTAATTGATTTTCTAAATAATCTATCTCTTTCTTATAATATTGCTCATAGTCTATTATATCCTTTTTTTTTTTGCAAGATTGTGGAGTAGCTGGTTTCATCTTCTCTTCTTTTAAAGCTTTTATTTCTACAATCTTTTCTTGTAATTTTTTTTGCAAATTTTGTATTTTATTTTGTTGAATTCGTAGATCTTCCTGTAAATCAACTTTTTCAAACTTTTCTACTTCCAGTTCACTCTTTAATATTCTTAATTCTCTGTTTTTTTCATTCAATAGTTTATGACTTTGAGCAGACCATGTTGCAGGAGAAGTAAAGAAGTCCTTAAGAGATTTTGTTTTAGGTGTAATGGATACTTTTAGTGCAGCATTCTCTATTTCAACAATTATTTCTTTTAATATTTCTCTATCTATATTTTTTCCATGGGGAATAGTTATTTCAAGAAATGATTTAATTTTGAGCTGTGTTTCATGTTGCAAATTAATACACATTGGATGATAAAATAATGGTTCCTGAGATACACGTAGTAAAAATAAAGATGCAACACAAATGTGTTCCATTTCTCCCAAAATTTTATCATCGAATTTGCATTTCGGGTATTCATCTATAAAAAATATAAAAGGGAAATATAACGTAAGGAAATATAATACAATACAAAATGATTATATAATGTAACACTTATTATATTACATACATATATTTACATACCTTGTAAGAATTTTACTATAATATTTTCTGTATCTACATTATTTTCAGCATTACCACTCCATGAACTATAAAATACGAGATAAAAATAAATACATTCTCGCAAAATGAATATTATATCAATGCACATTATGCACATTAAAATGGAAAATCTAAATATAAATATATAAAAAGTCACTTACAATGATTTTATTAGTTTCTTGTAAATTGTGCCATTATCCAATTCTTTCAAATCTTTAATATCCGTTTCTGATA